CCCGCCACCACAGCCAGCGGAGTGCACCCATCCAGCCTGGGCTGGGGGCTGGCCGGGCTGCAGCCCTCGGGCGCTCCGTCTCCAGAGTGAGTCTCCATGAGAGCTGTACCCTGCTAGCAAAAAACAAACCCAGAACAACGCCTGAGCCGGGACAGGCTCCTCCGGTAAATGCCAGTGATCCCCAGGGCTGGAGTTCAGGGAATTCCTGCTCCAAAGGGACGCTGTCAGGTTCAGAATTACTTTTTTTTAACAGTTCTTTAAAGCGTTGCGTATGAGATCTTGCTACTGCAACTGAGAATTACAGAGTACGTCTATGCATACTTCCTTCGGCTAGGAGAAGGAGACTTAGTCAGCTGCTAATTAACCTCGCTTGGAACCTCTCGTGCAGCAGTGGCGGAGGGCAGCGGAAGCTGTGGGCATCTTAAGAGGAAAAACCAACTATCCGCTGTTGTGTCATGGAAGCTGTTCTAGAAACACGACGTATTTGCAAACCCCACATACACAGCGGCACGCATACCCCAGCTACAAATAAGATTTGACCTGATGTCTCTAAAGTGTGGTCTGTGTTTTTATATGGACAAGTGAACGCTTTGGGCTTTCGAAGCCTTGCGGTTTCCCTCTTTATACTATTTATAAAGACTCCTTTTTCATAAGGCTTTTAAATAAACGTAGTGTAGAAGAGACGCCGTGAATTTTGCCTTGCTACGACGGAAGCCGTCTGGAGATGCAGTTTGTCCGCGGCCGGAGATGCGACCTAACAAGGGAGCAACCTTTGCTATCGATGAAGCGCTCCGTCTGTACTGCGGGGGCTGGTCGCGTGCCCGCTCATCCGAACGCACGCTTCGTACCACAGACCCGGGCCGGGGCAGCCGCCTTCGCCCCCTTGGTCCCCATGTGGGAACTCGAATAAGAAAACGTGACTTACCGACCTCCTAAGTGATGAACCAACCCGCTCCAGAAATCGTTCCACAACTGGCTTTAACTTTTCTTTGTGTATTTATAAAAGCAGACGTGCTTTTCCTGTACAGTGGCTTGTATGTGTGAATTTTTAAATGATTTTGATACGGCATTGCTTTTTTTTTTTTTTTTTTTTGGCCTGTAAAAGAATGAGTGTCAGCATTATGCATGCACAGATTAATTCTTTTGCAAGGAAAAATTAGTGGAAATTATTTCAGGCGATTTCCATTTATTCTTACAGCACTTTAAAGTGTCTGATACTTCTGCAGCTGGCTTACCTGTTTTTCCTGGAATTCCCCTGCAGCTTAGCGTTAGTTAATGTGCAACAATTCTCTATCGAATGTAGTCATTAACTATAACGCAATGCCTCCCTGCGTTACAGCCCCTTCCTGACTCTCTCCAATGCTAATGAAGCCCGCCGTCCTTTTTCAGAAGTCCACAAAGAAGATCGCGTGGTGCGTGCAAACAGCTGTACTGGAAAAACAAACTGCAACAGAGAGCGTTTCTTTTTCTTTTTTTTTTTATCTCGTCTGCTCTATCCTCCCCTTAGGTCCTTCTGCTTGGTTTTTAATTTGTTTTTCTCCACATGTGAAACCTAGGCGAGATGTTTAATGGGGTAGGACTTTAA